TGACAGACTAAACTAAAGGAAGGACAAAAAAATTATATTTTTCATAATTCAAGGATAAAAAAATACAAAAAATAGTTTAAGGATTAAAGATGTTAAAAATTAAAAGTTTGAAAATTAAAAATGGCATTTAACCTTTCTTAAGCAACTAGTTTTATATGTTTGAAAACATTAGCTTGTAAACTAATTCTCATATATCTAGTAATAAATATTAATTATTTTATTAATTATGAATTGTTTTTAATAACTAAACTAATTAAACAGGGTCAATCTTCTAGCATCCATTTAGACAAGAAAAGAAATTAGGAAGGGTTGGAGAGGAAAATTTCTAATATCCATTAAAATTTAATTTAAAAGTCTATATCATGTGGAAAACAAATTTGATGATCGAGGAGCCTACCACCGGCCCAATTAGAAGTAGGCACAGCCGCACATGTTGGCTTCAGTTACAATCAAAATTAAATTATTGATTAATTAAATTTTTAATTATTAAATTTTAGAATTTTTTATTTATTAAAGTGTTTTTAGGTTAATTTTTTAGATTAGTTTTTTTGAGTAATTTTAAAGATGCATCTTTTATATTGACTTAATACATTTAAAAAAATTAAATTTTTTAAATATATGCTAATACCAAAACTTAAACTCTAAACATGTTTTAATAGTTAACACTTATTTATAATCAATGGATTCAACTTTTAGAGATATTTTAGAAATTACCAAAAAGATTAAGGTTTTGTTGGTTTTGGATAATTTTTAGAAAATAATCATTTCAATATTTAGTTTCAGTTTTAATTGAAAATTTATTTTATATTTTTTAATTTCTTAATTGCTATTTTATTAATTTTAATTATCTGAATTTCATAATTCTTTACAATATATAGACTTCTTACTTTCTGAAACCTACAGTGATTTCTTTTGGGTACCCCCCGAGCAAAAACAAAATTACCTCTTACATAAAACTAAGGCCTTGGGAAGGAGAATCCTTTATCTCCTTGGGGGATGTATTCCAAGGAAAGTGACTCCTTGAGGAAGCTCGTGTCCCTTTACTGCAAGAAACCATTGTCACTTGCACTCCATTGCTACCTCGAATAAGTGGGATCACAACAAGAGAATCCAATTCTAAGAGCATGTACAATGGTGCTCTATTTGTCTTTTTTTTTAAATAATAATAGTAAAAAAACAAAGATAGTTTTACTTTATTGGATAATTTTTCAAAGTTAAGTTTTGTTTCGTACACCAAAACTGCACAGTCAAAGTTTTTTAATTTGAGCCCAAAAAGGCGTCTAATTAAAACAACGTCATTTTGGCTTCTTTTTGTTAAAAGAAATTTAAAATTAAGTCATTTTATAAATTTTTATTAAAAACAATTAAAATAAATAACTTATTTTTTAAAATAAGAATGATATTGTTTTGGTAAAACAATAAAGTTTTAAATTTTTTGCCTAATCTTTTATAAATCTTCATGATAAACGCTAATATTTTAAAAATATTAATTTATATAATGACTTTAATTCATTAAATAATACTTTTTTTAAATTAAAAAGTTGAGGGTAATTTATGTATTTATCTATATTACACTTAAAAAAATTAAAAGATAAAGTTAGTTTTTTTTTCTAATATGATAATTAATCAAAATAAATAAATAATAATAGTGTAAAACTAAGAAAAAATATTTGCTTGCTTTAAAAAATAAAAAAAATTAATTTAAGATAAATTCAAAAAGTTAAAAATTAACAATTATAAAACTAAATATTTTTTGTTTTATCATTAATTAATTAACAATTATAATTAT